CCTTTTTTCCTCCCATATTCATAATCGATGTGAATTTACGTAACATAAACGACGAAGTACTTTACTCGACGTTTAGCGTGAACATGCAATTGCACTTTTCTCTCATTAGCTCTCTCTCGTCCCAGTGTCAGTGACACATTATCTCTGGAAATCTGTGCATGATGCAGTAATACACGCACATTTTACATTGCGCACATGCTGCACTGTCCGAACATCATCAGGAAATCGCGATACATGCTAGTATTGTCTACATCCTCTCTATATAATCTATAACTCTCTACTTTCTATATGTACAATATATACAAACGAATTCGAATGCGCACGTGTGTCTCGCTCGATCCTCATGCGCGAGAATTTATTTGCTTTGACAAAATTCCTGAATAATACTGATCGGTACCGTTATATTCTTTGGAATTTTCACCAGTAAAAGGTTACTCGAGTGGAATTTGATCTTTTGAAAGAATACGTGACGGAAAATTCAACATTCAAAGGAGCGAGCATTGAAAAATATCTAAATAAATTATTTCAAATTGAAAAGGTCATAGTGCGAAAAATGGAAAAGAAAAATAGAATACGAAACAAAATAATCTTTTATGTTTAAAATTGGAAACACTTTTTTTCACAAATTAATATGTCTGCTTCTATTTTTATTCAAACAGAAGTTTCTTTTTTATGAAAAGAAAATTTTCCAGAAGAAACAAAATTATGTTCGATTATTGATTTACCTACTATTTACTACTTTTTTTACGTTAGGCTACTATTTGAGTACTTTTTTTAGATGTCAGCTACTGATAGCTGCTATTTCTGTTTTTTTTACAATTTCCACTACTTTAAATTCGCTAATACTAGAAATAAAAAAACTATTCTCAAAAATTATAATCAAATTCTTTAAAATGATTCAATTATTTTCAAAAAATATTCGAAATTCAATTATTTTCAATAAATATTCGAAATTCAATTATTTTCAATATCCCTATTTTCATAAAACTTCGCAAAAGAATTCAATAGTTTAAAAAAATTTTTGATAAAATTCTAAGCAAGAATTCAATTATTTTCATAAATAATAAAATTCATTGAAGAATTTCTATTATTTTTAATACTATTTTAAATTAATTAACTGAAAAATTCAATTATTATCACAAATAAAGTTTTTCACATTAAATCAATTATTTAAAATAAAATTTTAATAATATTTATTATATTTAGAAAAAATTAATTATTTAAACCAATGTTTATAAAATTCTTATAAAATATTCAATTATTTTCAAAAATAAAAAAATTTTTCAGACAAAATTCAATTCTTTTTAAACATTTTAATAAAATTTTTCGCAAAAATTCAATTATTTTCATAAAAAATAAACATCTTCTCAGGAATTTATAATTATTTTTGAAAATTTTAATAACATTCATAGCAACTATTCAATTATTTTCATAAATAATAAAATTCATCGCAGGATTTCAATTATTTTTAATGCAATTTTACATGAATTGCACAAAAAATGTAATTATTCTTAAAAATTTAATTTCAATTCCTCGAAAAAATCAATTAATTAAAAAAAAAGTTTTTTTTAATTCTTTGGAAGAATTCAATTATTTACAAAAATCATTAGAATTTTTCACAGGAATTCAATTATTTTTAAACATTTTAATAAAATTGTTCGAAAGTAATCAATTATGTTAAATACAATTTTAATTAAATTTTTTTTAAATAATTTAATTATTCTTTTAGATTTTAATGAAATTCTTCTCTACAATTCAATTATTTACATAAATAATTCTTCGAAAGAATTTAATTATTTCGATCAATAAACAGGGTGGCCGCTGGACCGGGAAACCGGGAAAACCGGGAAATGACAGTGAATTTTTTTGAACAGGGAAAAACCGGGAAATGACAGTGAATTTTGATCTTGACCGGGATTTTGGAATTTTGTTTTTAAAAACACACATTACTTTGTGAGAAAAAATAGAAATATTTATTTTAAGACTTAGGTATTAACTATATTTCATTAAAAAAGATTGAATGATCTTCTATAAAATCTATTTATATTTTGTCAGAGAATTTTATAAAAGGTAATATAAAAATATTCAATTTCTAGAATTTATAAGAAAATTATGAATTTTGTTGTCCAACGTAACAGACTTAGAAAAAAAAAATATTAAATTTAATTTTAAATTCTTTCTATTTTTAACAATAATTAAACAAAATATAATTTTAATTAAATTTGTCAAAAAAATTTCAAAGAGAAAAAATTTCACATCCTATAAAATAGTGAAAAATAAATCAATTTAAAAATTTTTTGCAATTAATATTATAACAAAACAAATAAGAATTATTAAAAATTTGAACTAATTAGAACAAAAGTGATACGAAATTTATAAAAATGAATTTTTGAATAATAAATAAAGTAAATAAAAATAAATAAAATTTCTTTTCTTAGAAAATAAATTTTAAAAAACCGTATTTTTCATTAATATCAATTAGTTTTTTTACAATTATTCATAAGCAAATTTTTCGATTTTTGAGAATGTTAAATTAATATTACTAATATTATTATAGACTGAATTTTAAAAAATTTCAAATTGAAGTTTTAGAAAAGTTGAATTTTAAAAGATTTTAATTAAAAATTCTGAATAATTTAGTCTTTAAAAATATTTTTATACACATTTTTTCAAATTAGTTATGTTTTTAAATATGTAATATTTAATTGAAAAATTTTCAAATTATTCAATATTTCATGAAATTGTCTTGTAAACAAGTGGATTTTAGAAATATTTTAGTTATTTCTAGAATATAATTGAATTGAAATTTTGAAAATAATTTTTAATAAGTTGCAGTAGCAATATTCTTAAAAATTATTCAAATTTAAAGGATTTGAAATTTGAATTTTTTTTTGAAATTTGAATACCTACTATATGGAAAAATAATGGATAATAATTAAATATTTATTTTAAAAAATCTATTTAAGTTCAAAATTATTTTTAGAGTAAACTAAAATATTTTTAGGTTTTGGGAAAAAGTCAAAGTTTTGTCTAAAAATCAGGAAATTCTTTCAATCTTTCATGGAATAATTTATTTTCAGAGTTATTATTTATGACCGGGAAAAATAATTTATGACCGGGAAATGACCGTGAATTTTTTTTTACAAAAAAAGTGGCCACCCTGATAAAAAAATTATTCCCGAAAATTTAATTATTTTGAGGAATTTTAATAAAATTCTTTGCAAAATTCAATTATTTAAAAGAATTCTAATAAAATCGATCCTAAGAATTCAATTATTTTCATAAATATTAAAGTGCTTTTTAGGAATTCAATTATTATTTTCAACAAAATTTAATAAAATACAACACAGACATTCAATCATCGTCAAAAGTTTTAATAGGATTCTTTTGAAAAATTTAATTATTTTTCAAAACTTTTCGCAATTCAATGATTTTCGATATTTACTATTTTCATAAAGTTTCCAAACAAAATTCAATTATTTAAAAAATTTTTTGTAAAAATCTTCGTAAGAATTCAATTTTTTTCATGAATAGTTAAAAATTCCTCAGAAATTCAATTGTTTTTAAACATTTTAATAAAATTTTTCGCAATAATTCAATTATTTTTATAAACAATAAAATTCTTTTTAGAAATAATTGTAAATAATCTAGTAGTTTCTGTGACAAGTATACTTTTATTAAACTGAAATAAATTTTATTTGGTTGAAAATAAAGCATTTCTCTTGTTTGTGGTAATTTTATTTTTCTAATTAACGAGATGAATGTGTGAAATACGGATATTCTGGGAATCGGAAGGAATTACCTATAACGAGTGAAATCTGATTATCATTTAATTTTATAGTTGTTCCCTTTGTGACATTGGCAGTAATTGAAAGATCATTTTACATGTCAATTCAAACAGGCTTTAATCTACACCATATATTCACGTTTTATTTATCTATTTGTAGTCACTCTCTAAAGAAAAAGCTGAAAAAAAATTGTTTATAATCGATTATAATTAATTTTTTTTTATTTTAGAAAATATTATAAAATATAGAATAGAAATAGAGAATATTCAATAAAAATGTGCACTAAAAGCACAATTTAAATTATTTTCAGAATACTTAATATTCGTTTAATTATTAAAGAATAAAAAGGTTTTGAGAGCGAAATTGGTGGTTTAGTTTCTCCACTTGAGAACGCCAAGGTCACCACCAGATGGCAGTGAAAATTCCAAGAAGGAAAACTGCCATCTAGTGGTAAGATGACATCTAGTGGTGAATCTGGCGTTCGCAGGTGGAGAATAGCGTCGTCTCGTCACCATATTGAATCTCAAGAAATTCGTCCATATTCGTAATTGTACATTTATTTATAATCAAATTTAGAGAGTTTGACAATTAATATAAACGAATTTCAATTTTTAATTTACTTTCCTTTTTGATATTTTTAACCTCTTTAATTTTTTACTCTTGGAATTAATTTTTCCAGTAAATAAATTGATTCTCAAAAGTTTGCTTTAAGAAATAGTACTTTTTATTATAATAATTTATCTACAATTTATTATTAACTTATTTGCTACTTATCCTACTTATTTACTAAATACTAGCTAAACATTTGTATGAGGTGAAAAAAGTGTCAAAAATTAATAAATAATCAATAGTAGAGTTCGAGGCTTGAAAATTAGAAAGGGACATTTAATCAAGGTAAACATTCGAATAAGCATGACCTATCTTTTTTTTCTGCTAAGGACATCAGTGTGCGCGTCACATAATTATTAATTTGCCTTCAATTACTATTTATATATTCTAATCATGGGAGAAATCAAAAAATATTTTGTAACTAAAAAGAAATGAGTACATTTCTGATGAGTATATTATTTATGAGTTATTTATTATACTTATCATTTATTCACTAAACATTTGTTTAATTTAAAATCATTAAACATATTTTTTTCTTGCGTAAATTTTCTATTTATATTTCAAATAATATATTCTACAATGATGATAATTTTTTTGTTCCAGAATTCATAATGAGAAGAATGCGGTGACGTTGCGGAAATATGTAAACTGGTTCCAGTAAGTACTATCGAGGACAACAGTCATTTATCAAAAAATACTGATAATATCATTTAGAAACTATTCATATCACAGAAAAATGTTAAAAAAGTAAATCTAAAAGTAGAACTTTTATTCAAAAGAGAGAAAATATATATAAAAACTCTAATGAAAATTAATGAAAAAATTTGCCAAAAAGAACACTGTGATAATAAATCATTACAAGTGTCAAAAAAAAAAAAAAATCTCGTAACAATTGTTTGCGAATAGACATAAATCGATTAACGTTACATATCTAGTTATAACATATATAAACTGTAGAGAGAGAAAACAAGAAAAAAAGAGAGAAAAAGAGAGAGAGAGAGAGAAATCCTTGAGAATGTTTTACGAGTGCTCAATTCAAAGTCGGCTTTTATCGCAAGATCGATGGGATGCTATCGGTGATCCTTCGAGTGCTAAAGATCTCTCTTAACGAATCGAAGATAACTATCAATGATTCGGCCTAGCAGAAAGTTGAATGCAATTTTCACTGAAAAGGATTTCAAAGAGAATTGAATAGAAATCGTCTGATTTAAGTTTAATTAGCATTCTGAGTATTGAGGTAGAAACTTGGGTTAAAAGACTACTAACGAGATAAGAGCGGTGGTCGTTGAGTAAACAAGATCACCAAGAGAGAGAGAGAGAGAGAAGAAGAGGGAGAGAGAGAAAGAAGGTCAGAAGATGCTGCTGAGATAGCGGAACGTTAAAAAGTGAAGGTGAAAATCGAAAAGAGCGCATCATTTAGAAGGAAATAAGAAGAGATAGATAGTCATGGTGTTTCCACGGAGAAGATCGTTGTGGTTGAAAATAGCGGTATTAGGCGGTGCAGTGTGGATAACAATTTGTTTTCTTCTTTATACGGAGGATCGTTCCGCGGTCGCTGTTCAAGATCTTGGACCCTCTGCACTTGGAGTGCCTCAAGTTGCCAATGGCTTTGTTCCGCCAGCTCAACCCCTCAAGAGAGAGACACCTGGAAATGGACAGAGTAAGCCGAAAATCAACCACGCTGGTCCTGAACAAGGTATGTTTCTTTTTACTCAAAGATATTGATTCGCACAATAATAATTGATATAAATCTTTCCTCGACGCTAGAGTTTCAGTAAATTTTATCCAAACCACTATTTACACTGAAGAAAAAATGCTATTGAATCAACCCAGGTGGAAAAGTTAACGTTAGCTAATGCTACTAACGTTAGACTAATGTTAGACTAATGTTAACTAACGTTATAATCTGATATTAGTGACCAAAAAATGTCGTTAGACTAACGTTAGCCTAACTTTAGTTAACGTTAGTCTAACGTTAGTTAACTTTAGTCTAACGTTAGTTAACTTTAGTCTAACATTAGTTAACGTTAGTTAACGTTAGTAGGATTAGCTAACGTTAACTTTTCCACCTAGGAATAACATATTTGTTTGTCGCAATAAACGGCATATTCAATATTGTCACTGTTTTTCTGCAGATATCAAATTGAGACAGAATACGTTTAAAAAAAAAGAAATTAAAAAAAAAAAAACGTTGCTTCGCAACATTTTTGATACGTTTTTTTGTCTCAATTTGATATCTGCAGAAAAACTATATATTAGAAAACTAAACTATACATTAAAACTATATTTTCCTGACTATACCCTGATTTCCTGACAGAATTTTGACTTTTTCCGTGACCCTAAAGAATATTCTGATTCACTCTAAAAAGAATTCGACACTCAAAAAAAATGTTCTATTACATTTATTTACAAATTTCTTCAAACGTAAAATTATTCAAAAACATCAATAGTTTTTTTTAAATAAATATTTAATGATTATTATTTTCCTATAGAAATTAAGATTTTCAAAAAAATTCAATTCAGAAGTTACAAATGAGGGCAAAAATTCAATTACCATCAAAAGTAATAAAATTCTTTGCAGAAATTCAATTATAATATATTCTTGGAAAGGCCCCACTACGTAGAGGCGAAAGCTAGATAGAAAATAATAATTATATTGATCAGTTCTTTGACAATTAATAAACATCTTTGACAATAATTTGACTCTGATCAACAATAAATATCTCCATCTTCTATATATTAGAAATTCAATTATGTTCAAAAATTTGAAAAGAAAACTAGTCAAAATTTTAATTACTTTCAAAAACCAATAAAATCTTTCTCTGAAATACAATTATTTTAAAAAATTTCAATAAGATCCTGATAAAAATTTCAATAATCTTTAGAAAAAATAAAATTCTTCAGCAAAGTTAAATTATTTTCAAAATTTTTAATAAAATTCATCTCAATAATTGAGGAGCAAGTTTTCAAAACTTGATAAATCCATATTTTCTTATTTCGAGAAAATGAAACAAATGACATTTCTCACATAACCATTATAGTGGATTTTAAATTAAAAAATTTGCAATAATTTATTTTTATAACAATGTTTTTATATTTAAGATGTTCTGTTTTTACTTAAACATTATCGTAATTAAGTGATTTAAAGGTTTTGGTAATTTTTTCTAATAAAAAACTTAAAAATTATAAGTCATCTTGGTTATGTCAAAAAGTTTTTAAATTGAAAATTCGTTGTTAATAAATTTTTTTTCTTACATTTAACAGCTACAGGTCGATTTGTGAAGTCTTTAAAATATTAAATTTATGTTTAACTCAATTTTAAAAAAAATGGATTTATCAGCTTTTGAAAATTTGCTCCTCAATTCAATTATTATCTAAAATTTTAACTGAAATTTTTTTTTAAATCAATTTTTATTAGAAAATTCTACGAGAATTCAATTATTTAAAAACAAAAAGAATAATTTATTGAATAATTAAAAATTTTTTTAAATTGAATTCTCGTATAAAGAATTTTATTAACAAATTTTAAAATAATTGAATTCTTTCGACGAATTTTAATAACATTTTTAAGAATAATTACATTTTTCGAAGAATTCGATTAAAATTGTATTCGAAGTAATTGATATTCTGCGATGAGTTTTATTATTTCTGAAAATAATTGAATTTCTAAGAAGAATTTTATTATTTATGAAAATAATTGAATCGAATTTTTACAAAGAATTTTTAAAACCCTTTTTTAAAATTTTTTTATTAAAAATTTTGAAAATAATTAAATTTTTTTTGAGGCAAATAACTGCATTTGTATTAGATGAATTCTTATAAATAAATTTTTTATTTAAATGAATTTTATAAAAATTTTGTTTAAAACATTAATTTCTTTTAAAAAAAATTGATTGATTTTTGAGAAAATTTTATTATTTATGATAATAATTGAATTTTTGTAAAAATTTTATTATTTATTAAAATAATTGAACTTTTACAAAGAATTTTATTACAATTTTTTAAAATAATTAAATTTCTGTAAAGAATTTTTTGTTTATAAAAATAATTGAATTTCTGCGCAGAATTTTTGTTATTTTTATCAACAATAATTGAATTCCTGCTCATAATATTATTATTTTAAAAAATAAATTAATTTTGATGAAAAAGTTTATTACAATTTTTGAAAATAATTGAATTTTTGCACACAATTTTTTTTTTTTTTTTTTTTATTATTTTGGAAAATAATTTAATTCCTGCGCAGAATTTTATTATTTTTTATAATAATTGAATTCCTTTGAAGTATTTTAGTGCAATTGCAAGAAATTTTAATAATTTAAAAATTCTCCAATTAAAACATATATTAGAAAATAAAAAGTTCAAATAATTCAATTCTTTTCACGAATTTTAATAAAATTTTCAAGAATAATTACATTTTTCGAGGAATTCTTTTAAAATTGTATTAAAAATAATTGAAATTTTGCGATGAGTTTTATTATTTATGCAAATAATTAAATTTCTGAAAATAATTGAATTCCTAAAAAGAATTTTATTATTTATGAAAATAATTGAATTTCTAAAAAGAATTTTATAATTCATGAAAACAATTGAATTATTGCGAAGAAAGTTATAAAAAATTTTAAATAATTCACGGAGAGAGATTTTGTATTAATATTTGTTAAAATTGGCAATAGAATTTAATATATTCTTTTTCAATTTAGGGAAATCGTGTTTTATATTAAAAATTAATATTGTGCATATTAGTAGGCAGCCCTTGATATATTTTACAAAAATTAATAAAATTGTAATACAATTTAATAAAAGAATTATAATTTTTAAAAATGACTATATTAAAATCGCAGTCCGTGAAAGTATCGAAAGAATAAGATAAATTGAAATAGTTCTTTTAAATTTTAGAATAAAATACATATTTCAATCTTTAATATAGTCAATACTAAAAATTATGAGTGAGTCGAAAAGGACAGGAAATAAAAAGACGTAGGAAGGAGGAGGATAGAATTATCGTTTCGAAAGTATTTCGCACACACACCAATGAGCTAACGCAAGCATCATACTATACATCATACTATACAAACACAAACTATATACAATTTCGGAGATCTATGTTAAAACCTATAAACGCATACATATAAACTTAACTTAAATACAAATAAACGCAATAACGCACGCACGCTGTACATTGGGAGATACAGTTCTCAACTTCCTTATATACTAAACTCGAGAAATTTTCTGAACTTGTGAGAAAGTGATATTTTCTCCATATTTTGTTTAAAAAAGTTCTTAATTTATTTTACATTATAAATACATACTTTTGTATGCTGGGTCAAAATTTTATTCAGAAATGTTTATGATAATACTGTTTTTAAAATTGTTTGTTTCTGGAAAATGATTTCTATTGAAATTATATCCAATTTTTCGTTATATAAAAAAACCCATCATTTAATTTATTGCCATAAGAAAATGCAGCATATCTTAAATCATTTTTTTTTAATACCTTCCAATGTCCTAATTCATTTTCGTACACAGAAAAAAATTAATATCTAAACTTGAAATAATATTAATTTGAAATCCAATGGAATGTAAGTATGTCTAAAATAGACATTATAGTCACAATTAAATTCACATCTCTGATTTAGAGATTTGTTAATTTCACAACTTATCTGATGTGAATTACATTGCGTTTTAAGTTCATCATTGTCAAAGAATATTTAAACCATTTTAATTATTTAAGTATTAATTTTATATTTTAAATGCAGTTTCATTCCCAGTTTTCACTTTCCATATTTTACGAATGTTTTTCGCGTTATCACGTGTGGGACATATTTTTATTTATTAGTATTTTCAGGTTAAACTTTCGTTTGACACTTAAAAACCTAACCTATATTGAAAGTTGTACCAAACCATGTTTTTTTATTAACCCGTCAGCACTCGCGCTATAGATAAAAAGTCTCACGCAACACTACTCAACCTATAGGGAACTCTTGGAGTGCGAGTGAGACACTAAAAAAAGCGATAGTGCTGACGGGTTAAGAAATAGAAAAAGAATGTTTATATTGTGTGATGTTGAGATTATTTGATTCAAATAAAGAAATGAAATAATAAAAAATTCATATTATCTTCAAAAAATGTCCAATTTTTTATGATTGTCAATGGATTTGTTTATAAGTTCATACTAAAAGAAAAATATACATTCTTTGAATAATTCTCACTCTAAATTGCGATAAATCATAAAATTTGAGATTTCTAATATCATTTTCAGGCATAAAAATACGGATTCTTCACACTGATAATATATGCGGATTAGATATAACTCTAAATTTCAGTTTTAGAGATCTGTTCAAATCACACATCCGATTCCAGTGATAGTTTATGCCTAAATCTCATATTAAATCTCTAATTTAGAGATTAATTTTTTTCCGTGTAAATTTTGAATGCTCTCAAATGCTCATTTAAAAGACAATGGACTATGCCTTTTACTACAATTAGGAAATCTTCATTGTCGATTAAAATTATTGAATGAACAAAATAAAATTGTTCACCCAATTCCGACACATTTTGACACATCAAATTAAAATATTTTGGGGTAAACACAACGTGCACATGTTGCCACGAGGTTTGACTCGGATAATTTCGGAACTGCTCGACTGAAATATTCGGCTAATCTCGGACAGCTTCGTAACCGCTCTACGTCAGCCTGACGTCAGCCCATAGCCTGCTATGGCCTGCTACTAGGCTGGTCATAATTTTTATTATAGTCGATAATACTATTCATAACTAAATTAACAACTTATGTAATTCTTCGATAGTATTTAGTATAATCATCTGGTAATACTTTTTACTATTGCATACTTTCTTACTTATAATATTACAACTTCTTATTGACTATTTCAATTTCTATTACTTCAGAATAATACAAAGTAATAATTTGATTATAAACTTTCTTAAAAATGGTAATATTAATTCATAAATGTACATGATTTCCCCAAATTGCAATCGGTTTTACTAAATACAATTCAATTGAATTTTTTCGCCGAATTTTTAAGAACATTTTTAAGAATAATTATATTTTTCTAGAAATTTGATTTAAATTGTATTAAAAATAATTGAAATTCTGCATTGAGTTTTATTATTTCTGAAAACAATTGAATTTCTGCGCAGAATTTTATTATTTTTAAAAATAATTGAATCTTTGTAAAAATTTTTATTATTTATGAAAATAATGGAATTATTGCGAAGAAATTTATAAAAAATTTGTAATTAATTGAATTCCTTAGCAGAATTTTATTATTTTCGAAAATTATTGAATTCTTGAGAAGAAATTTATTTCAATTTTTGAAAATAATTTAATTTTGGTGAAGAATTTGATATTTTTTAAAGATAATTGAAATTTTGACAAGGATTTTAGTAAAATTTTTGAAAATAATTGAATTTCGGAGAAGAATTTGATTGTTTTTGAAAACAATTAAAATTTTGACCAGGATTTTGCAAATTTTTCAACTTACATAATTGAATTTCTGCAATCATTTGTAACTTTTCGACAATTAAATTTTTTGTTGGTGTTTTTAACTATAATTCTTCTATAAGTCTATTACTTTTAATAAAATCAATTAAATACATATTAAAGAACTTAACTAGATTCAGAAGAATTTGAATTATTAAAATCTTAGTTTAGCGTTGAACGAAAAAAAAACTTAAGTTTTTGGTGCGAAAAATAGATATTTCGTTTACATTGACCCCAAATGACCCTTAAATAGTTTCTTTTGTTTCTTTAATTTTTCGAAAATCCCCAATCTGTGATGCGTGAAAATAAATCAGCATCTTTATTTTTAAGATCTGAAATGGCTCTTGCCATATTGCGCTGGCCATGTTTCGACGAAACATTCGTTGAGAACTGAGCCCGACCACTACACTAAAGCAATTTGTCGTTTCCCTTTATTGCAACTGCACGCTAGAGTCCAACTTTGGTCCAATGGGATAAAATTATTTTCAGAAGCACTATAGCAGACGTGCCATTCCAGTATATGTCTAGTACTTAGAAAATATATACAGGATAATATTCTAGTAAAAGATAGTATAGGCAAACGCAAGAAAGCTTTTAGGGTCTCATACATACATATATACCCACATATGTACAATCGTACATTCATACGTACATACATTCATACGGTCATGATGATGATTTTGATGACGATAGTCATCTCAATGATTATCTCGATGATTATCTCGATCCTACAGGGTTAATCACTTCATTTCGCTTTGTACACATTGGTTTCTTATGTAGATAAGCTATTTCAAAGATTTTCCATATTTTAAATCCAAATTAGTTAAAAAAAAACAAATTATAGTAACAAATATATAACAACTTTTAGTAGAAAATAACTAATCATAAATAAATAAATCACTGCGAAAGTAATCAAATTTGGCACATTCAATATTGTTTACCAAAAAATTTAGTTAATTTTCAGGGTTGCCAAAGGTCATTATTTTCAAAAGTAATAAGATTCTTCGCAGAAATTCAAAATTTTTTTTAAAATTCTCGTCTATCTGTTTATGGATCAACGAAAATTTAAGAAACTATAAAATGATTTTACAGGTGGTGGAGTTCTCTCAGCTCCAAGAGACATAGATCCTGCAGCACCTGGTGAAAATGGTAGACCAGTTATTTTACCAGCGAATCTTACTGCCGAGATGAAAAAACTAGTGGACGATGGTTGGCTGAATAACGCCTTCAATCAATACGTCAGTGATCTCATCTCAGTTCACAGGACATTGCCAGATCCTCGGGACCCATGGTGAGTCATTATCCTAATTGAAAATTTAATTTACCTATTTACAATTACAAGAAACTCTTCCTTATAATTCCATTTCTTTATTTTCTAAAAAAGAAACACGCGAGACTGAATTTTAATCATTCCCGGAGCACATATACACTTGAAATATCGTTTACAGATGAGATGAAATCTATATTATTATACAGTACATAAATAAAGGACGCGAATTTTTAATATGTTTGGGAAAATTTCATCTCTTATAAAGTTGGTTATTTTGAAATTCGATTGAATTTTATGATTTATGTAATTTTGTAATGCAATCAAGCAGGGTATTTATAGTTAGAATCGTCTGGATCTTTATTTGATAAGTGGTATTGATGTTCCATATATATGAATAAAAGTGGAACGTTGAAATTTTACATTTACAGGCTTTGCACTCCTCTACTAAAACATACTATTTACTACACTGAAAAAAAAATTTATTTGATTCAAATAACCGATTAATTGACTATTATCAATTAAATATTTAATTCAATCAAATAATATTTATTGGAGTCAATTAAATGGTTCCAATTCATATTTGCTTCAAATACTGAAATTATTGGTTCAAATACCATTTAATTGACTCCAATAAATATTATTTGATTCAAGTAAATATTTAATTGATAATAGTCAATTAATCGGTTATTTGAGTCAATTAAATTTTTTTTTCAGTGTACTTTTTTTTACGTTAGGCTACTATGTGGGTACTGTTTTTTAGACTACAGCTTCTAAAAGCTACTATTTCTGTGTTTTTATTTTATTTCATTTTTTTTTTTGAGAATTTCTACCACTTTATTAAATTTTGCTAATAGAAATCAAAAAACTATTCTCAAAAATTATAATCAAATTCTTTAAAATGATTTAATTATTTTCAAAAAATATTCAAAATTCAATTATTTTCAATATTTCTATTTTCATAAAACATTGCAAAAGAATTCAATAATTTAAAAAAATTGTTGATAAAATTCTAAGCAAGAATTTAATTATTTTTATAAATAATAAAACTCATCGAAGAATTTCAATTATTTTTAATACTATTTTAAGTAAATTAATCGAATAATTCAATTACTATCAAAAATAAAGTTTTCCACAAGAATCCAATTATTTCAAATAAAATTTTCATAATATTTATTATATTTAGAAAAAATTAATTATTTAAAACAATGTTTATAAAATTCTTATGAAAAATTCCATTATTTTCAAAAATAACAAAATTTTTCACAGTAATCAATTATTTTAAATACAATTTTAATTACTACATTTCTTTAAAATAATTCAATTATTCTTTTAGATTTTAATAAAATTCTTCCCAAGAATTCAATTATTTACATAAATAATTCTTCGAAAAAATTCAATTATTTTGATAAATAAAAAAATTATTCCCGAAAATTAAGTTATTTTGAGGCATTTTAGTAAACTTCTTTGCAAGATTCAATTATTTTCATAAATAACAATATTCATCACAAGAATTCAATTATTTTTAAAAGTAATAAATTTAGTCTTAGAAATTTAATTATTTAAAAAATTCTAATAAAATCGTTCCTAAGAATTCAATTATTTTCAACAACATTTATCTTCCACAGTTTTAATAGGATTCTTTGTAAAATTAATTTATTTTTAAAAACTTTTCGCAATTCAATGATTTTCGATATCTACTATTTACATAAAGTTTCCAAACAGAATTCAATTATTTAAAAAAATTTTTTTAAAAATCTTCTTAAGAATTCATTTTTTTTTAATGAATAATAAAAATTTCTTAGGAATTCAATTGTTTAAAAAATTTTATAAAATTCTTCGCAAGTATAAAATTATTTTTATAAATATTTAAATTCTTTAATGAATAATAAAATTTGTTGCAGGAATTAAATTTAGTAGCAGTAGGATAAGAAAGAAGTAAATATTTTTGATGAAAATTAGGAAAAAGTCAAGAAAATAAAATATAGAATGTAATTTAGAGTATAGAATGAATCACAAGGATTGTTAATTTTAATTCACTTTTTAGTTTCTACATCTTAAATTTTGAAGAATCATTTTAAGAACACTCGATAATGATTTCTATTTTTAGTTCTTTTTTTTTTTGTTGGCTTTATTGTGAGTTTTTTCTAATTATCATTGAGAGAAAAAAATGTAATGCGAAAAAAAGGTATTGTTCACGAATTTTTGAAACGGGGTACGAAACACTTGGCTTTGCGACAGTGGTTACGGTTATATCGTGGTAAAACCGAGTGGAATCGAGAACAAGAGGTCTTTTCGTTTTACTACTATTGGCGTAGCTCACTAGGCAGTTTTCACGAGACTCAGTTGTGGATTTATCTTTAGAACGACAATTTTGTCTTTCCCTCTTTTTTTTTTATTCTCATAATTGCAATGTTTCCCTCAACATTTCTGTTTTTCGCACAATATTGTCTTGACAGTTTCGACTTTATCTTCGGTACTACTGTGGTAGTTTTTTTTACAGGAGGTAGAATTGGTATAGAAAAAAAGGTGGAATTGGAGAAAAAATTTATTTCACTCAAATAAGTGATTACTTGTTTTTTTTTTAAATAAAGAATAACAATAGTATTTCGTTGATTCAAAGAATTTTTATTTAATTGAAATTGTATTTGAAATTTTGAACCAATAATTTTAGCAGACTTTGCACTCGATAATTAATTGAAAAGAAGTAGGAAAAAGTAGCTTTACACCCAAAAAAAAGTAGTAAAAAATAGCTATCAAAAAATTAAAATTAATGGCTAATAGAATCCAGATTTAGTATAGATTATTTTGATTCAGAATTTCGTTTTTCTTATTTAAAAATATTGACTTTTTTCTTATCGTGCTAATAACTTCAATCGTTTTTTCTAAAATTCAATAATTATCCAAATTTTTTGTTAAAATTCTTTAAAAATACTTTTTAAAAAAACGATTATTTAAAAATAATTTAGTAAAGAAATAAAATTCATAAAAATATAAAACTCAATGAATTTCAATGAATTTTGATTTAGATACCAAATATTTTCGATATAATTAAAAAAAAATAATTTTTTTTGCTTTAAAAGCGTTAAATTTCTCATTTTAGGAATAAAATTGAAAAATTCTCGGCAAATATTGGCAGTTTTTTGTTAATATGATATAGATACTTAAGTTGTGGTGCGATGTCAGCGACAACAGGCGCTCTTAGGAAGTTTACCCACCTGTCCTGATAATGTCGCTTAATATCATGTAAATGTAAATTAATATTCATGGAACTAATTCCCCTTGCAACTCTGCTGGGAAAGTTTCCGCCCGAAATTTACGATCGGCCGCAAAACATATTTCCAGCGGAATCGTACGAACTGCTGCACCAGCACAAAGTGTGCAGCTTCTGCTTCTACTCGACGGTGCCAGAATAATGATAATAATTTTCTTTGCTGTTGGACACGCTGCAGAGGCAATTTCTCAAACGTAAAGTCTCGTTTCAACTCGTTGGAAAAGCCATGTAAAAAATGTAAGACTTCCCACATTTTAAAGCAGAATAAAGCACGAGGGACTCTTAAACTTTTGAACTAACGTTCGCAACATATTCCGGATATATTTTAGAGGAATAATACAAATACACGTTTCACGAACATTCCAAGTTCATTTATTTCAACTCAACTTTCAAATATATTTAATGCTCCAAAAAAATAATAATAATAATAATAATAAAGGGAGAAAGGAATTTATTTCATTCAAAACTGTAGCAAATAAATATTTATTTTTATGAAATAGGGTCATTTGGGAAAAATTTAAACAAGGGGTAAATGTAAACAGTTCATGTTTGAGATTAATTTAAAGATTTAAGTAAGACGACAATATTTTAATCTCAGCTCAGTAAGAGCTGTAAGAGCTTCTGAGTATATCCAATATTTTATTTTGACAAAAAACCAATGCCGTACTCCAAGTTATTTCAAAAGATTAAAAAAGTCAAAGCTCGAAAATTTTTCTTGCATTTTTCTTAAAGAGTGGCTCTGCACAAATCATTATTTCGCAAAAATTCAATTATTTTCGAAAAAAGGAAAATCTTGCACATGAATTCAATTATATTTAAAAATTGCAATAAAATTCTTCTAAAGAATTCAATTATTCTCAATAATAATAAAACTCTGCTGAGGAATTCAATTATTTACAAATTTTTTATAAATTTCTTCGAAGTAATTCCATTATTTTCATAAATAATAAAATTCTTCTTAGGAGTTTAATTATTTTCGTAAATAATAAAATTTTTATTATGAATTCAATTTTATTATTTTCATAAATATAAAAATAATTGCAGAATTTTAATTATTTTTCATACAATTTTAATTGAATTTCTTGACAAAATGTAAGTATTTTATTATTCTTACAAATTTTATTAAAATTCATCGAAAGAATTGAATTATTTAAAAATTTGTTTATAAAATTTTTTATGAGAATACAAATTTTAAGAAACATTGAAATATTCAATAAATTATTTTTTTTGTATTTAAATAATTGTATTCTAGTAGAATTTTCTAATAAAAATTGATTTTTATTTCATAAAAATAAATTTCAGTTAAAAACAAATGAATTTGAAAATTTTCAAAAAACTTTTTCAAAAATTTTAAAAATAATGGATTTATAGAAAAATTTTAGTTAACACTAAAAGCAATTTTATTTTACAGAAGTTACAAAGTATTTTAAAAATTCAATTGTTTTCAAGAGTAATAAAATCCTTTGCAGAAATTTAATTATGTTCAAAAATATTAAAATTCTTCTTAGGAATTCAATTATTTTCTTTAGGAGACTTGAATTTTAAAAAACATTCAATTGTTTAATAAATTATTTATTTTTGTATTTAAATAATTGAATTCTAGTAAAATTTTCTAATAAAAATTGATTTAAAAATTAATATCAGTTAAAATTTTAGATAATAATTAATTAATAACAGCAATAAAGTGTGAATTTTTATAAATAATTGAATTTTGATATTAATTTTATCAAAAAAGTTTAATTGAATTTAT